CAGCTCTGTTTTGTTTTTTGGTGTAGGTGCTTCTTTAATGGCCCTCAGTTTCCCCGGAGTGGGTCATATTCCTGATTCATCTATTAAGTAGCCCAGGAATTCTACTTGTTTCTCCGCCAAGTTGCATTTGTTCCTTTTTACTTTTAGCCCCACTTCTTGGAATCTAGATAGTACTTCTCTCAAACGCTGCTGTAGCTTGTCTAAATTCCCTGTCGAGATGAGCACATCGTCAAAATATGGGACAACTCCTTCAATCCCTTGTAATAGGCATTCCATCAGGCTTTGGAAGAGCCCTGGGGCTACACTGACTCCAAACTGTAACCGCTTGCACTTAAAGGCACCCCTGTGTGTCATGATTGTTTGGGCCTCGGCTGTGGCATTGTCCACAGGAAGCTGTTGGTACGCTTGTGCTAGGTCAAGCTTTGCAAAAAATTTTGCTCAGCCCAACGAGTGGAGCAGATGTTGCTGTCAGGTTTCGATGCTATCTCAAAACAAATGAATTTCCAAACTGCCGATCTTTGAGGAAATTTTCTCTTTATTGAGCACAGTGATCTGATCCTGGCTCTTTCACGGTCAGTATGCATCACTGGCACCAGATAAGCACTCTGCTGTAATGCCTTGTTTATTGTGCTTTTATAGTCTCCACAGATGCGTATCGACCCATCTGGCTTAATGGGGGTGATGATGGGTGTCTCCCACTTCCCATGGTCTGTAGGCTCTAATACTCCCTGGGCAACTAGCTTGTCTAGTTGCTCATCTATCTTGGGCCTTAGAGCAAATGGGACCCTTTGGGGTTTAATCCAGACAGGGACAATTTGGGGGTCTAAGTTAAATGATATTGGGGACCCCGTGTACTTGCCTAATTCGCCGTTGAACACCTCCACGAATTCTGCCATCAGCTTTTCCTCCCAGCCGCAGTCATTGATATGTCGTCGATGCCCGTTACAGCCAGTCCTAATGGCTTGAACCATTCCAGACCTAATAGGCTAGGTCTATCTCGGTCCATGATGGTGAGGGGCAGCTTTGCTTTGAAGGTCTTGTATGCAAAGTTGAAAATTCCTGTGCCAATTACCGGAATCCGATTCCCTTGGTAGTCTAGTAGTGTCAGTCTTTGGTGTTTAAGTGCACTGGTGATGATGTCAGGAACTAGACGTTTGATTGTTGCCCAGGAAACCATGGATAAGCAGGACCCTGAGTTGACCTCCATTTTGCCGGGTCTCCCCTCGATGAGTACGGTCGCCACCATCTTGTTCGACTTTCCCGCACTTGCATGACACACTATTAAGGTTTGGTTGGTCTCTCCTCTCTCCGATTCGGAATCCTCGCTTCTGTGACCTCTTCCAAATGGCTGTCTTTTCCTGCTTGCCTTGAATTGTTGGTTGTTTGACAGTGGGCTTGGTGGACGGTTTGGTCGGTTCCTTCGGGACGCCAGCTGGGATGCTCTGCAGGCTCTCGCTATATGTCCCTTCCGGTCACATCTCTGGCATATGGCATCGCGGAACCTGCATTCTCCCCTTGGGTGGTTTCCCTCGCATCCTGCGCACTGGAATTCTGACTTCCCTTTTCCTCATGGCTTGCCCCTTCGGTCTGTTTGGAGGTGATGGACTTCATCCTCTTCTTCTTCCTCTGACCCCGTTTCTACGTCCTCACAATGGATCGAGGATTCTTCTTTTCCTTGCGGCCCTTTGTTCATCTTTTTCATGGCTGCCGCGGATTTCTGGGATGCCTCTGATGCAGTGGCTTCTTCCATCGCTTCTTTGAAAGTTATTTGAGGCTTGGCCAGTAGTCTACTCTGCAATATGAAGTCTTTTAACCCCAACACCAGCCGATCTCTCATAGCTTCTTCTAAGTTGGAAAAGTCACAGGCTGCAGCTATCTCCCTCAAGGTTGCAACAAATTCACTTATTGATTCGCCTTCCCTCTCGTCCCTCCAGTAAAATTCATGTCTCCTTACCAGGGATGAAGCTTGGGGAGTGAAGTGTGCCTTTAGGATGTTTTGTAGGGCCGGCCAGGACATTGTTCTTAGCTTGGTTGGGGCTGCGAGCGCTTTTGCCATCTTTAATACAGCGGCTCCACAATGCGTGAGGAATATAGCTCTCTTTCTTTGTTCCAACAGGCTCAATAGGTCGTTTCCCTCCAGGAACATGTGGAATTTTTCCATGTAAGATTCCCAGTCTTCTCCCGCTTTGTTGAAAGGTGTGGGTGGGCTGATTGAAGACATTGGGGTAGTCGATGATCTGACTGGTGTTAGTAGTTGTTGATCTGGATGGCTGACAATTGCTTGTTGGAGGTTCAGTGCTTCGTTCTTTGTCCTTCAGAATCCCACCTTCATCGCCAGTGTTAAATCGTGGGCGCAAGAAGGACTGGACATGCAGTAGAATCAAACACTTTTATTAGCTCCGTAAATTGCAATGTCAATTGCTGGCCACAGCAGCTCCTTTTATAGCTAGGAGCTGTCCACGGCTTCAGCCATTGACGTTACTCTGAATTTCCCGCTCCCGTTCCTGATTGGTCCGTTCAAATCTTCCACTCAACAGAATTCAAATAATTTAAAAACCCTAATGCCCTAATGACCAGCTGGTATGGCTAGATGGTCATGTAACTGGGTAGGCATGGCCAACTTGACATCACTCATGTCGAGAGGCACTTTGCCTTACCCAGCATTTCATGACTATGGGGATGCTGCAAAGGTCATAAGTGTGAAAAATGGTCATGTCACTTTTTTTAGTGCCATTGTAACTTTGAATGTCACTAAATGAACTGTTGTAAGTCAAGGATTACCTGTACAAAAATACAAAAAGCTTCTTTGTTTACAAAAAGCTGCCCTAAATACCAATCATTAGATTAGAAATACCTGCAAGCCGGAGTTACAAATCAGGCAGGGTGCCAGCGTACCTTGAGGAATTAAAATAGTTAAAATGCAATGATAACTATTAGCAGCCAACTCTTACTCATATTAGCAGCCAACTCTTGCTCATAAAGTGAAACCCTTTAGCAGAGAGATAATTTAAGCTCTCCAGAAAGTGGGTAGGCATATTTGGGCTACAAAATGTGGAGAAAGAGACAATAAAGAGACAAATTAACAAATTATATAGGGGACCCAGGTTCAAACCTCCCAAGCTTGTCAGGAACATAATAAAATTAGTACATGCCACAGATATCTAAATAAACTTCAAGCCTTGTGCCATGTTACTAAGCCTTATTATCATGAGAGAAAACTAAAATGAATTGGAGGATCCACACCCCTACCTCCTTTTTTTTAAAAAAAAATCTTACTACATTGAGCAATCATGTGCCTTGGCCACTCCAAACCAAGAAAGTCCAGTTGCCTCTTGAAAAAAGCACCTTTGAGACAGCCATGACTGGATGACTAAAGAATCCCCATAGACAAGTGCTCAGTGAACTAACAAAGCATCCTTTCCCACCCAGGAGAAGCAATCATTAGATCCATTTGCACCACTTAAAGATACCAGCTGGTCTCACTCACCTCACAAGATATCCTAAGGAAATCATCCAGATTTAAGGAAAGATCACATGCCCCCAGAAAGGCAGTAAAAAAATCAGCGCCAAGCTTGCATCCTGCCTCTTGGAAGTACATCACAAAAGGAAGTGCCAGGAACCACTAAAGCAGTGAAGGAAGACCCCCCTCCCCATATAGAAAAAGGAACCATGAGACAGGAAAAAATTCAAACACAATACGAATAATTTAAAAAAGTGACTTATGACCATTTTTCACACTTACGACCGTTGCAGCATCCCCACTGCACTGCCTGGTTGTTTGGTGACCTCGCTCCTCCTTCCATAGTCCAGGTGTGAGAATGTCCTTGGTTCCCAGGAGAAAGTATTTTATTTTGGCTACACAACCCCAGCTATCTCTAATCCCCCTCCCTATCCCTTAGTTCCAGTGTGGCACTAAGTTCCAGTACTGAAGCTCCAAGATGGTTCTGGTCAGATCAGTTTCAGTGTTGACAGTTGTTCTGCGAGCTGCACTGGTTGCTGGTTTACATCTTGGTACAATTTAAGGTATTGCTCACTTTTAAAGCCCTTTATGACATGACTTCAAGCTAATGGGATTGATCCATCCCATTAGTGCCAGGAGAATGAGCATTTTGCAGACCCCATTGCTTAAGGAAGTCTCCTGCCTTTTGGAACATCATACCTTCCCCAAGGTGATATCTGCTTCCACTCTTCTGACATTTCAAAAGGTTATGAAGACCTGGCTGTGGCCGTTGGCCTAGGGCCACAGCACAGGTTCATCATTCTGGAGGTAGTTACCAATTAAAACAACACTCCGCTTCCCCAGATGCATCTTGGTCCCTTGCTTCCCATCTTTTAATTGTAATTTATAATTCATTGCACAATCAGCCAGGTGATCAGACTCGATCTGGCATTTTTATCCATCTATCAAGCCCTTCCCAAGAATCTGGGATAGGAAGATGTGGATGTTTGATGGTGTTAAAGATATTGTCATAGAATCCAAATTGTTCCAAATAAGGTTACTTTTGCAATTTGTGTGATGGTGATTTTGTCAAGGCCGATGATGGTCAAGTGATGCTCCAATTGTTTTTGGATTGCACCCAAGGAGCCTATTACTACAACTACTACTTTTGTAAGAATGAAATAGTCAATAAGGGCTACATGGTCTATAAAACTCCATCTTACATTCTTTCTTCTCATCTATCCCTCTCTATTCTAACCAATAGGCCAAGTGACTAGAATCCATTGATTTAATATCCTAATTTGAGGCTCTTTCATATCTACTTCTTAGTCCTTCAAAGAGAAATTTGAATATCTGTGATTGTCTTTTTTGTATTGGGATTTAGTGCCAATTATTAATAATATTATTGCAGGTATTCATGTGCTGCCACCTATTTATATTCTGTACGAAATTGATAATATTACAAATTAAAATTATAATCTTAATGGAGGAAGTATTCCTAATTTGAAGGGATCTTATGAATTCTAATTAGTAACATATTTAATAAAAAGATATATGTAAATATATTTGTACAGATCATTTATTGTTGACAACTCTGAAATTTACATATAAATGTATTTGTATTTTAGGCTTTCTAAATCAATATCTCCAAATATAAAGTTAATGCTTTTTTTAGCATGTTCCTCATTTGAGGACCCATGAACAGCATTGTGCAGAACATCAGTTGCAAATTTAGCACGTATTGAATTAGGATGTGTTTCTTTTGCTTTCGTTGGATCTGTTGGTCCCATTAATTGTCGCCATTCCTCCACAGCATTTTCTTTAGTTAGAACCATGACCATTGATGGGCCTCTAGAAAAACAATACAACCAACGATGTATGAAATGCTGATAATCTGATTTTGCAATGAGAACATTAAGTTGACATAACTAATGTTGCATGAGATAAACAAGTCAAGTCTACTTGGGATACACTATCTATTTGATTATTTCAAAGAGTCAGAGGTTTATGTTACAGAAGCCAAGACTTATTAAACATACATTATGTAACAGTAGATGCAATGGTGGGATTCAAAAATTTTTACTATCGGTTTTGTGGCAGTGGTGAAATGCAGCTGGTTCTATCCGGCTTGGGTGAACCGGTAGCAGTGGTGGTGGGAGGCTCTGCCCACCCGCTCAGACATTATCACATCCTATTTTTGATGCTCTGTGCATGCGCAGAAGGTCCTGCACATGTGCAGAGGTGTTGCGCATGCGCATAGCAAGTGTGCTCCCATTTGCGAACTGGTAGTGAAAGTAAGTGGATTTCACCCCTGTTCTGTGGGCATGGATTAGTGGGTGTGGCTTGGTGTTCATGCGACTGAGTGGGTATGACTTGGTGGTCATATGACTGGGTGGGCATGGCCAACTTGACAACACTCACGTCAAGGGGCGCCTTGCCTGGCCTCTCCTCAAGGGCCTCAATATGATACATTTTCCCAGTCTATTTATTTACTACTACTGAACATCCAAAATATACTATTTAATCCTATGTATATATGCCATATGTGTACATACATATTACATAGTTTTTTCTCTTTCTTTCTTTCTTTGTCTCTCTCTCTCTCTCTTTCTTTTCTCTCTTTCTCTCCCTTCCCTTCCTCCTTCCCTTTCTCATTCAAAGGCTAGGAGAGTGAGACACACCTGAGATATGTGAGGTGGGAGGCCCGAGAGAAAGTGCCTGGTCTGGGCACACAGCCCTCCATAATGGAGCTCTTCCTGGGGAGCAAAGCAAGAACTTACTGATCCTGATGGCGAGTTCCAGCCACAGCAGCAATGGTGGAAGGAGCATGACAGCAGGGACAGCAGTGGCAGTGGTGGCGGAAGGAGAGCAGTAGCAATGGTGCTCAGGTAGGGCGACCTTGGGGCCCTGGGAAAGCGCACAGTGAAATTTACTTTAGCAACCAGAAGTTGCCGCTTTGGGTCCACCTGTAAGTCCAAGTCCGGAAAACACTGCAGGTGGCAGAGCTTTTCTCTGCCACCTGTAGCACTTTCCCGATGGGAGTGAAGTCGGACCCAAAGCTCAATTTCGCTGGGCTGCGAAAGACGCTCTCTCACTCTCCCAGGCAAGAACAGCAGCAGGAGAGAAAAGCAGCTGCTGACCTGGAGAGCACATGGCGCCCTCCATGTGTTCTCCAGTGACCTGTTTTCTTTCCCCTGCTGCTCTTGCTGGGAATGGGAAAGCATGTTTCACAGCACAGCAAAATTTAGCTTTGGGTCCGACTTCACTCCCATTGGGAAAGTGCTGAGGGTGGCAGAGAAAAGCAGCCAGGTTGAATGCAATTTCTCTCTGCCACCCACAGCGTTTTCCGGATGGGAGTGGGACTTACAGGACCAAAGCAGCAACTCGCGGTTGCTAAAGTAAATTTTGCTGTGCTGCACAAGACAGCACAGCAAGAGCAGCAGGGAAAAGAATTGAAAACAGGTCACCAGCAAAGACATGGAGCGGCTCCGTGTGCTCTCTGGGTCAGTCAGTGGCTGCTTTTCTCACCCACAGTGCTTTACAGATGGAACAGTAAGATAAGAGCCTTACCCAAACCACTTCATCCACCTGCTGCCATGCTGCCCCCCGCCCGTGCTGCCCCCACCCGTGACCCTTTGGCTGAGCATGGCAGGCTGCAGGCTGGGTAAATTGCTTTGGCCCCGGGGGAGGGTATAGTTTGAGGCCTGCCTGGGTTCTCTAAGCGAGTGTGGGCAGCAAGCCTGACCATGGGGACTGCCAGGAAGGGAGGGAAGCATAGCGGGGCTGTAGGCCATGTGGAAGAGAGTAGGAGAAGGCAGGCAGGGATGGTGGGGGGTGGGGCATCTAGCTAAGCCACAGCCAGCACCGCCATCTGGGATGGAGCCTGCTGGTGACTTAGCCAGCCAGGCGAGCCTGGGGATGGTGATGGTGGGGGGGCAGTTAGCTAGGTCATGAGCGGTGCAGCCAGCGTGGAGCCATGGTGATGAAGCAAGCCAGGCAAGATGAAGGCTGGGTGGGGGGGAGTGCAACTTGTAGGCTTACTTACCTAGGCAGGCAGATCAGGGCCACTCAGTTGGACCACAGGCACTGTGTGGGAAGGCAGGCAAGCTGCAGAGCAGTGTGGTCAACATGAGGAGCAATAGTGTGTTATGCTGGGGAGGTGAGGAGTGACGGGGCAGGTGGGGTGGGGCAAGGTGGCAGCCGGGCCGAGTGAGCAAATGGGTGGGTGGAGGTGACCGGCGACCGGACGGGCAGGGTCGGGGCCAGCCAGAGATCATTACCAGTTCAGTGAACCAGGTCAATTTTCTGCTACCTGTTCGCCTGAACTGGTGCGAACTGGCTGAATACCACCTCTGAGTAGATGACTTCCTTAACAGTCCCATCTCTGTTTGAATTTGCACTTTGCTGTATGTCAGTCTGTCTGTTCTCCATCTATATAAAAACCTATGATATCATGTCATATCATATGCTAGTCTTAGAGGTGCCATTTTTGATGACTTTCCTTCCCTCAGAACCTTCAGGTAAGTGGAGATGCTCCATAGATAAAAGTAGTTCTCTGTTTCTGCTCTTCAAAAGAGATATGTTAGGTAGCATTCTTTAAAACATTATTGTGGCCATGGCAAAATCAAAATTGTTTACATCACATCACATCACATCATACAATTAAAATCAGTTAATACAATTTATCTTCAGTAATGTTGTCTTTTTGTCACATAGCAAAAATTACAATTGAGCAATTGGGTTTGGAAATTCTGCACTAAAACCATTTGAAGGCAAGCAGGTAATATAGACAGCTACAGCTAAGAAATTTTTGAAACTGGGATTTACAGAGATGCCAAAAACATGACAGAAATCTAGCAATACTGTCAAAAAGAGTTTCTTTTTAATTTTTAATTTTTTAATATAATAATTCCATTTCCAGTTAATCAGTGTGTAGTCCTGGTACAGATATCATTGTAAAATAATAATCAAGGTTTACAACTATATTCATTACATTAACATTAATTCTATAATATAGAATAGAATAGAATAGAATAGAATAGAATAGAATAGAATAGAATAGAATAGAATAGAATAGAATAGAATAGAATTCTTTATTGGCCAAGTGTGATTGGACACACAAAGAATTTGTCTTGGTGCATATGCTCTTGGAGTACATAAAAGAAAAGATACATTCGGACTTCCGGCGGCGACGTCATGGTGTTAGGGACGAAGGGAACAAGCAGCGACTGGAAACTAAATGGAGACAGATGTCATCTTGACAGTGACAGCGCACAAATTAACAACTGGCGAAATTGGAGGAAATCCAGAGGAAACCCAAAAGGAAAAAGTGAACCCGGAGAAAATTGAGATCTTGGATAACTTGTTGCAGAGGAGAGACAGGATTCAAGGAGAGAAAGAGAGAAATTTGAGGGACCTTGCCCTTTGTGGAGACAGTGATGAGGCAATTAACAAGCAGCAGATTCCAGAAGAGAGAGCAACAGAAAAAACTCTGTTTAAGTGGAAGCTAGCGATTTCTGGAACTAAATCAAATTAAACATAATTTTTTCCTTTGGACATTGGAGATTTGGACGAGATTTGGGCGACTTTCAGATATTTGGACGAGGATCTTTTGAGAGGTGGACGTTTTTGAAACTTGGTGGATATTTAATTTAAAAGACATTGGGACGCTAGACATTGAACGTAAATAGCAGAGAAAATAAATCAGAAGGATACAAATCTGAAAAAGAAGAGAGTGACCTAGAGGAAGAAGAACCAACGGTGAAGTAAAATTAATTGCAATTAAACTTGATATTGAAACAGTGATTAAAAAGTAATAAATATATTGTTTTTGAAATCTCATATATAATTGTTAACTCAGTCTTATATCTACTTAGAGAATTACTTTGGCATTTAATCATCATCTTGTTTTGGTATGTTTAAGTTTGAAGATTTATATTAGACAGATTAAGTAAATTAAGGATTGTAATTAAGGGTAATTGATATTTATAAATAGTAATTAATAGTAATTTAAATAAGATACTAAATAATTAATTATAAGGACTATCAATTGATGAATTGCTGAAGCATTAGACTTTTCCCTCACTCCCTCCCCCCTATACCCCCTTTATTTTTAAAGATTAATTTGGACAAATAGTCATTAATATTTGAAGAATTTTGAAAAATATTGAAAGGTGAAAGATAGAGTTTATATATAAAGTTATACATAGATAGTGATTGTGTGATAAGGAAATATATTTCAATTGTTTATTATCTTGGGATTACTGAAAGCTATATATTGAATTTAAATATCAATAGAAATATAACAGCCCAAATAGTAATCAGTATATGAAACTCTGGGAGAAGATAACACAAGAAATACTAATGGCAACTACGGGCTCAGCAACAATTACTAAATCAAGCAAGAAAATACCTCCAAACCAGATGATACTTACGGCCTCCCCATCACAGCAAAAATCAGTTGAAACTATGGAAAAGGATAAGGCAACCCCCACTCTTAGTATGCAAAACATCCACTCTGTACTAACAATAATCCAGGAAGAAATGAATGGAATGCAAGAGACCATGGTCCACAATCATGAGGAGATAAGGAAAAACCATGAGGAACTAAGGACGGATGTGGGAGAGATAAAAGATAATATTAGGAACATGGAGGAGAAGATAGGAAAGATTCAACAGAACATAGAGGAAAACGAGCAGAGGATCCATAAGGTGGAGGAGAGAATAGAACATACGGATAAGAGAATGGAAAGGATGGAATATAACCAAGTGGCAACAAATAAGGAACTGGAGGACTCATTATCATATCTCGAGATGGAGAAGGCATCCTTCTACTAAAGGTTTCAAAATGT